CTGTGGCCATCTTGGAACCCTGTATGGCCGCCTTGGACGCTATGAAGAGGGCAAGCCCGGGAACTGCAAAAATGTACGTTTTCCCCCGGGAATGGAACGAATTTTCGGTGTTCGGGCTCTCTTGGGGCTCGTCGTGGAGCCCACTTGGAGCGTTTTGGAAACCTCCTTGGGCCGTCTGCAAGCTGTCTGAGGCGTTGTCGAGCGCTCTGAGCGCGTCTCGGAGACCCTCTTGCACCGTCTTGAACCGTTTTCGGCCGTCTGGGGGCCCTTTTGGGGGCCTCCTGGTGCGTCTCGGAACGCTCTTGGGCCATCTTGGAAGCGCGCCGAGGCCTGCTGGGGCTGGCGGGGGCCGCCGGAGGGGGCCAGTCCGCTGCCACCGATCGGCCCATCTGCGAGCGCTGGGCCCGCCATTGACGTTGGGCTCTAGCTTCGCCTCCCGCATCTCGCTGAGAAGCGCCAGTGCCCGCTGCCACCGCTCGCCCTTCTCGCACGCGCTGATCCCAGCGCTGTAGCTGATGACGTCGGGCTCCAGCCTCGCCTCCCACATCTCGCTCAGCAGCGCCAGCGCCCGCTGCCACTGCTCGCCCTTCTCGCACGCGCTGATCCCAGCGCTGTAGCTGATGACGTCGGGCTCCAGCCTCGCCTCCCACGTCTCGCTCAGCAGCGCCAGCGCATCCTGCCACTGCTCGCCCTTCTCGCACGCGCTAATCCCAGCATTGTAGCTGAAGATGTCGGGCTCCAGTTTCATCTCCCGCATCTCGCTCAGCAGCGCCAGTGCATCCTGCCACTGCTCGCCCTTCTCGCACGCGCTGATCCCAGCGCTGTAGCTGATGACTAGAGCTGACCCGCGGCCTCCGGCCGCGGAATTTGCCCGCCCTGGCGTGGACGTGGAAGTGGAGCGTCTCTGGGGCCTCGCGGGTAAGGAGAGGTTGGAGGGGACGGCGTGCATGGAGGAGGTGATCGCTGGAGGGGAAGGTGGGCGAGGGATGCAGGCAAGCAGGCCTGAAGGCAGGAACGCGGTGGTGGAAGCGGTGTCAGTGGAAGCACACCCATGTAGACATGACATGGTGTGGACAGAAGCTGTTTCTCACGCCGCAGTGTGTGTGTGTGTGTGTGTTCATCATAGCTTCTGCGGGGAAGATAGCCGTGAGAAGTTGATTTGCTCTTCGCCGGGGCCGAATGATAATTTCATCTGGCAGTGTGGTGACAATGGGGCCAGTGGGCGCGGCCTAGGAGGCCCGCACTAGGGCGGCGAGGCGGAACTCCCTAAGAAGGGCCCCAGTGCGAGGACACGAATCGACTTTTCGAGCGCACCTCCCCAAGACGTCCCCAAATAGCGCAGAGATGGTTCCCAGAGGGTCGAAGAAGCCTCCAAAACAATGCTGGAAGTTCGACGCTCCCCAACATAGAAGCATCCAAGGCCTCTCGGGGGCCGCTTGGGGGCCTCTTTTCGTCCTCCTGGGGGTGGGTCTCTCGGGGCCCTCTTTGGCAGTCTTGAGTGCATCTTGGGCCGTCTTGGGGCGATGTGGGGCCGTCTTGGGCGCCTCTCGGACCATCTTGGGACAATATTGGGGCCATCTTGGGCCAATGTTGGGCGCTACTGGGGCTGTCTTTGGTGTTTCTTGAACCGTCTCGGGCGCCTCTGGAGCCGCCCCGGACGGCCCAAAGACCGTCTCGGAGACTGTCCAAACGGAACAGCTTGGAGACGAGGCGGCGGGGGCCTCTACAGCCGTCTTGGAGACCGGGCGGTGGGGCCGTCTTGGGCCATTATTGATTGCTCTCGGGGCTGTCTTGGGTGCGTCTTGGGCCGTCTCGGGCGCCTCTGGAGCCGTCCCGGGGCAGTGCGTGGCCCTTTGGGCGCCCTCATGGGGGCGTCTGGGCGCGTCTTGGGGCGAGCTGGGGGGCCTGCATAGCCTTCTGGGCGCTGCGGGGACGAAAAAGCAAGATCCATATATATATATATATATATATATATATATACATATATATACATATGAACCCTAGGAACCTCTCCGTGCAAAGGGACAGGCCTGCGCGAAGCGCGATCGATATACACAGGCATTTTTCGACCGCAGCTTCGGCCAGGCTGCAGGGAACGAGCGGCAAGAGCGGTTGCGAGAGATCGCGAGAGAGCCGACTCGACGCCTCAAAACCCCTTGCTGGGTTGAGGAGGTAATCAAAAGGAGAAGGTGGCAGATGGGGTTGGATGGAGGGTGCCACGAAAACTTGAGCCCACATGGCCCGCGGCACTACCAATCCCCCAGATCATTCACGCGCAGGCACTAAACATGAACCCCAGGGGCCTCTCCGTGCCAAGGGACAGGCCTGCGCGAAGCGCGATAGATATACGCAAGCATTTTTCGACCGCAGCTTCGGCCAGGCGACAGGGAACGAGCGGCAAGAGCGGTTGCGAGAGATCGCGAGAGAGCCGACTCGACGCCTCAAAACCCCTACCCATTGACAAAGAGCGTCTTGGCCTTGGCCACAAAGAGACGCGCCAGCGACCTACACAAATCAACTGGATACGGGCATGCTCTCGTGGTCCAGAAAACTCCATTGGGGTCTTTACACTGCAAAACAAGGCGCGTCTTTCCTGAAGCGCTACACCTGCCCTTCTGACAAACGCGGCGCTTGACCTGATCCTGCGCCGGAGGCCAATTGAAAAGAACGAAAACGATTGCTTTACGCCTTGGGACGCTATGCTGACAGAAATCGGCTTGGACCCTCTCGGCGCCTGCAGCCTCAATGACATCGCAGAGCTCATGGACACGCCACAGGCGGGAGGCGGAGGGATTCTCCAAAGAAAAATGGATTCCCGCGAGCAGACAGGCGTCAACAATAATCAGCACAATTGAAGAATAAGAGATTAGCTTCAGCCAGCTTACGCCTATCTACAGAACTGAGCTGGGGAAGACCCCAGATACCTTGGTCACTTCTCACGGGGGGAGGCCCACGTCCGTCGTTCTTACGAGCACGAGACCAAGTCTTACAGCCTAGACCGACGTGGACTCCCCCCACTTCATCATCTAGAATACTGCGCTCGAGGCGGGCGATCACGGCGGGGTCGCCGAGGTCAGCGGCCCCCCCGTCTTCGCGGTCCCAGCCCTGCGCAGCCCACCCAGCGGCGGCGACGGCACTGGCCAGGCGAGCGGACCCGCACATGAGCTCGAGGAAAGGCCTCGCGAGCGAGGCAGGCTGGACTCCGCGCGTGAAGAGGCGAGGCGGCGGCCTCGGCTCCTCTCGGCGCCCCTCGGAGCTCGGCGGGCCGCCTGTAGCTTCCGCGGGGGTGCCGCAGGCGCGGGCTGCCAGCTGAGCGCCAGTGTCAGGGCTCGCTCGAGCTGGCTGGAGGCCGCGTCGACCACGCGGCGCACGCTGCCCTCTAGCTCCGTGAGCTCCTGCTGCGCCAGCGCGTGAGCCTCGTAGCGCTTCATGCTGTAGTCGGAGGCCCAGCGACCTCTGTCTTTGATCTCGGCCAGCGACCTGTGGCGGCAAAGCCTGTCGTGAGACGGCCCTCCACGCCTCAACTGGCATGGCACGCAGTGGCGGCCTATCCGAGCGAACCCCAACGCGCCCCTCCACAGCCGCCCGAGCTCCTGAGCGTCCGTGCGAAAGAGCATCGCGGTGGGGTTGCACGTCAGGCACCTCGCGACGAGCGGCCCCAGCCACGGCACCTCGACCGAATCGAGAAGGATGCTCTCGTCGGCTAGCCCCACCTTGCTGCTCTCCCCCCTCACCGAGGGGTGTAGGTTGAAGCCGTAGTGCTTGCGCGAGCCGCTGGGGGGGAAGACGTCCTGATCTCGGAGCCCTAGGGCGTCGCTTGGCCGGAGGTATGCCCAAAACATCACCACTGTCATGAGATGTCATGAGTCCGACCTTCGGGAAACCAAGGTCGCAGGCCACAGTCTTGGCCAGCAAAGCGGCGACTTGCCACGGGATGGGAGGCCGAGTCTGTCCTGGATCGAGCCGCTTTCAGCCCTGGAGCGCCCTCGAGAATCGCGGCAAGCGGAAGGGCCCCTTTCGGGAAAAGTCGGGGCGCTCCGAGATAAAGGCGGCATACGTCTTCAGCAGATCGGCCCTCCCCAGCCCGATGCCCCACGCGTGGCCGGCGTAGTTCGTGAGCGCCAAGTCGGAGCCCGCCGCGGCGGCTAGCGCGAGGCCGCGCGAGCTGGCGAACCGACGGAACTCGGTCATGGGCCTCTTTGTAATAGGCCTGCGTCTGCGGGGCCACCGCGTTCCACTCCAGGAAACCCTTGTCGCCCTCGTCGAGGATCCGAAAAGGGCCCGACGATTCCTGTCTCTTCACGCCCCTCTCTGCCCTAGTCGCGCCGACAAAAGGTCGGCCCTTCAGGAAGTCCTTCATGACGAGGCGGCTGCTCGCCGCGGGGCGCTTGGCCGCTTCCGGCCTGAGGTGTCGGACCACGTTGTCTCGGTCCCCAGCGCCGCGACCCCCCATCGGCGACGTTCCGCTCTGAGGGGGTCCAGCGACGCTCGAACTTTGAACCAGCGGCCACTGAGAGCGCAGCCTCGCGACGACAGCACACCAGCAGAGGATGAGCTGAACACCTGCCTCTGCCCAAAGCCAAGACCGTCCCAAGATTGTCCCCGAACTTTTGACGATGACCGAACGCAGCTTGACTCCTGAATACGTGCCTGGATGTCACGTTGGCCGCTCGGCCGTCGACTATGGCAATGGGCCCTTTGACGAGAACCCTGGCGGGGACGACCTGTTTCCAAACATAATCGTGCAGAGCCTCAGCGGGGACCTCGATGAAGTCGGGGTTGAGCTCCCAGGGGTCGTGCTGGAGGTCCTCGTCGGGGATCTTCGGGGCCTTCACCGTCAAGACGTCCGAGAACACGTCGAGTTGGCCACTATGGGGACCCGGTGGGGCCAGCGCAGACTGACGGGCTTGTATCGCCGAAGGCGTTCGGAATCTCCATCTCTCACTGACTGACCCGATGCTCTTGACGAGAGACAAGGGATGGATGGCTTGACAAGCGAGAGACAGGCATCATAGCACGTGACAACTGGGCTCCACGGTAGCCTGACGCCCGCGACCATTAGCGGAAGTAGGCGACGGCACTGCGCAACTTCGCGCGCAGCTGAGGGCCAGAGGCGAGCTCGCCTGCTGTAGCAGTCTCTTATAAAATCGTACAAATTTCTGAGAATACAAAGCAACTCCCTTCGTAACATGATATGATCTATCAGATGCCCGATGAACCTCTCCACCTCCCTCCCAGTCGCTCTCGGCCGTCGCTCCAGCCACAAAGCCGCCTGACGCAGGCGTTCCGTGCGCTCGGGGCGAGAACAAACCAGACCACTGACGCCGTCAACAAAGCGGCCTAAGCTGGTGAAGGTGTCCGCCGCCTCCACAACTTCATGGATCAGAACTCCGCGTCTTCTCCACTCAGCGCAAATCGCGTTCAGCTGTAAATTGCATCGGTCGGGGTCCGTGCCGATGACGTTGATGTTGTCGCAATAGGGGAGGAGAAGGCTCGCCACCGTCCAATGGAGGGGCGGGGCCGTGATCGGTCAGCACCCTGGAGACCCCGAGGCCAGAAGCAAGGCAGCAGATGCGCGCGTTGGCACGCTGCCCCAACCAGAAGGCCCAGGACCAGCCCATGGGAACAACGCGCAAAAAAGGCCAGACCCAGCCCCCTGAGGGGCCGTCAGGAGAGCCAATTGCCCCCACCCCCCATTGCGACAACGCGGCCTGGGAGACGGGCGGCAACGAGAAGTAGAGCCCAATCTCAGTAGGAAGATCGAGCGCGTAAAAGTAGTTCCTGACGTCGGCCTGGGCGCAGTAGAGCTTGGTGGTATAAGCTCCCGCGTCGTCGCGATCCCCAAGCAGGTGGAGGCGCCCATAAGCGGCAGACGTCCCATCGAAAGAGGAGGCGGGGCACGAAACCTCCTATCCGGCACCCGCGCATCCCAGACGAGCCTCTGGGCACTGCTCTTCTCTGCCACGAAGAAGGCCGTCACCAAATCCTCTGGACGAAACGTGAACCCCAGCATGTTGGCCTTCACCAGGTCTGAGATGAACAGGTGGTAGGCGCCAGGATCACTCTTCAAAACCTCGTCCATGTACGGGGTGACGGGCGGCTCGGAGTCGAGGGCCCTGGACCACTCGTCAGACGCGAGCATCATCTCACTCTCCAGCACGTAGTCCCTGCCGATCGGGTCGAGCACCGTCTCAACCGCAGGCACGGCCGCATCCACTTCTGGGATGTCTACTCGGGATCTGACGTACTTCACAACTGGGCTCGGGGCCTCGTCACCGGTGTATGACAGGCTGGTGGCCAGGAGCTCCTTGGCGGCTCCGCGGCGTGAAAAAATGGCAGTAGTACTCGGAGCACTGCGAACGTGATGCAAAACTGTGGCAGCCGCAAGGCGCTGGGCCGCCGCGGTCTGCCCTCGCTGCTCGCGCGGGGGGCGGAGAGCGTTGAGGCCAGCAATCGCTTCATTGGCGAGTTGCTCCGAGCGCCGTCGGTGAGCCAGCCTCCTGCGCGTAGAAGGCGAGACTGACCACGACGTCGGCGGCGTCGGCTGAATCAGCGGCAGCGGAAACAGATCGCGCTGGCGATCGGCGGCTGCCGCTAGTGGCGAGGAAGGGCCCTCGGCGGACGGCGGGGCGGCCATCGAAACCCCGCCCTTGGCCTGCGGGCCGCCGCGGGACGGCCAGCTCCCGCGGCGTGGGGCGGTCATTGCCCCGAGCCCCCGTTGTGGGCGGGGTCACCCTTGGCCGCCCCCTTCGGCCCTCGGCGTAGCTTCTGCTCCTCCTTGGCCTTCCTGGCCTCCTTGAGCACCGCCGCCTTGTCTCGCAGGTTGGCCGCCGCGTGCTTCTGGAGGGCTGGAGCTACCGCGGCGGAGTAGTCTGGAGCCGACGGCGACGCATCATGAGCGTCCTCGATCACCTGGAGGCGACGGCACACCAGCTCGGCGCCCTGGAGCGCGGGCGCGTTGAGCTGGTCCACACTGGCCATGGACTCCAGCACCCTGCAGAGGACCTCGTGCTCGTGGATCGAGCGGTCGCCATCGGGGATACGACCCGCCCTTAGCCAGTTCGAGCGGTGAGCGACGGGCGTCAGCCCCGCATCTCTCCACGACCGAAGCGCCCACAAGCACGAGGGAGGTCCGTCCAACATCAATCCTCCCTCGGGCTCGTCAGCAATCAGCAACCTGAAGATCCGCGGCCTGCGTGAACGGGCGGCGCCTGGCTCCCTCCTGACTGAACTTCACAGGCAGCACCCTGAGATCGTCGATGACGAAGGCGTCGATCTCCGCCGCGGGCACCAGGCGTGCCGTGACCCATCCACCCTGAACTGGGACCAGCGCTACGTCTCCGTGCACCTCCGCGTTCGGCGGCAGCGGGTCAGGGATACGCTCTCCCCGCCGCAGCCCGCGGGGGTCCTCGGTGGCCAGCCAAGCGGCGGGCGCGGCAGCAGCGATCGGGGGCGCCGCTCCAGCGCGGCCGACCACTCCAGCCTCTCCACCCTGCCTGGCCGCGGGGGCGGGCGCCGCAGCTGGTGCATCCGCGCCGCCTGCAGGCACAAGAGGCCCAAGCGCAGCGGGGGGGGGGGACCCACCAGCAACGCGCCGTCCCTCTTGAGCTGCTCCAGCTCCGCGTCCGAAGGCATGGCTCTGAAACGATAGACCTGTCGGGCATCCCCCCCGCGGGCGTCGCGCCCTGCACTCCAGACCAGCGGACCTCCGCCACGTCGTCACTCCTGGTCTCCTCGGCGTAAAGGTCGCCGTCCGCCGTGAGTGCGGCGAGAAGACCAGGCACCGACTGGCTCACTCCTGTGACCAAGCGCTCGTGGAACAGAGGAGCCCCAGGAATATCGTATCTGATGAGAATGGAATCACCTGGCCGCGCCATTTCTCACACGGAGAAGCGCGACCTGCTGCCTTGCCCGATCCTCCAGACAGCCGTCTCGACCTGCAGTCCGACCTTGCCGAGCCACCAAGCCCGTGGCGGCCGCTCCAGCAAGAACTCTCAGGACCCAGCCGCAGACGCCAGCCTCGACGACGCGCCTCTCGCCCACGATCACCGAGCCGCCTTCCTGAGGCGGGCAGCTGAGGTTGACCGCGGGTGGCGGGCAAATCGGAGGCGGGCAGGCCGCCACAGGACAGGGGATGTTCGCTGGCGGGCAGGCCAGCGACACGGGCGGGCACGCAGGGACCGCCGAGAGACCAGTCTGGCGCAGCGCCGCGAGCTCCAAGCCCCGCTGCGCGGCGGCCTGCAGCGACTGGAAGGATGGGAGAGGGGGGAAGCCCATCCGCCGGGGCAGAAACTCCTGCCACGAAAAACTTGAGCCCACATGGCCCGCGGCACTACCAACTCCCCATATCATTCACGTGCAGGCACTAAGCATATATATATATATATATATATACATATATATATATATATGTCTATATATATATATAGCCCCGATTCGACGAGTGCCAGAACGAGCCAGGCGCCGGCAATATAGACTGCCGGGACGAGAGGTGCAGGCATTGACCACCGAAACGTGTAGCAGGCGAGGCACATACAGATGAGGCCCCAAAGAAGCAGGACGAAATTAAAGGATTCAAGTGAGGGCGGCATGTGGGTGGGTGCACTTGAGCACAGATGCCAGCGGCAAGCACGGGCTGGCATTCGGGAAGTGCGGCACTCTCAAACCAGGGCTCTGCATAACGTTGTGAAAACTGTCCAGCCCGCCCCGATTCGACGAGTGCCAGAACAGAAATGATGACAGCAACCGACGTGACCGACGATGGGCACTCGCTTCTTCTTCATCATATGTGTGAAGCACGAGCCAGGCGCCGGCAAGATAGACTGCTGGGACGAGAGGTACAGGCATTGACCACCGAAACGTGTAGCAGGCGAGGCACATACATATGAGGTCCCAAACCCCATAAGGAAGAACTGGCCAGGGAGCTGTAGCGACAGGGCCGAAGAGTTTAAAAGGCAGTTCGATGAGATTAGGAAGGCGACTTGCATACTAAGTCTGCCATGGCCTGCCTAGGCCTCTGCAATACAGCGTCCCTGACAATTTTAGCCAACACCGTGCACGGTCCAGCGGGGTAGGCGGCAGCCAAAGCAGTGTATTTACAGCCCTCAGGGGCCTGGCCAGTGAGAATTGCGTGCCTGTTGCCGGTGCGAGAGCAAATCCCCCTGCGGCCATGACAGAGCCAATCGAGCTCAAAAAGCGGCCCTGTCTGCCAAGCCACGATCCTGGTGCGCTTTTGCCAGGAGGTCCCGAATTGACATGGATCAAAATCGCACACACGAGCGTTCTTTGAGATGATGAGGGACGCAAGCGGCTTGGCATGCCACATTAGAGAGCTAGCGGGATTTTCCAGTAACGCTGGTATGTTAAGCATGCAGCACAAACGGATGATGCGGCATGTGAAATAAAAAGGAGCGTTGCCTGCGGCCAGCCTCGAGGCCTCAGAGGTCGAGGGGCTGTTGATGCCCATGGCCTGGGGGCGTGTCCTGAGCGGCTTCCGAAGGGCCCGTGACCACGTCGTGCACGGCGTGCCGAAGAAGACAGCCGCGTCTGCGCGGCTGCGGATCCAACCGGCCACCACCCGTTCGAAGTCACGGCAAAGGCGGTCTTCCAGAGGCGAATGTCGCACGTCCAAGCCGAGGGCCGAGAGCCCCAGGCGGCGGGCGGCAGCTGTGAAATGCCCGCTCCCGCTGAAGAGCTCCAGCACGACGCGCCGCCGGCACAGGGAGCCGCGGCTGACAGCAGCTCTGAAGCGTCGCCGCAGGTGATCGGCGCGCTCCGAGCCCTGCAGAGGCGGCTGGGCCCGCCCGGCGTAGACGCCAGCGGCCCCGCCCGAAGGGCTGGCCGCGCTCGGGCGCGGCCCGAAGGGCGCCGCCTCACCCGCCTGGGCTTGCTGTCTGGCCCGGACAGGACGGAGGTCGCCAGGGCTGGCTGGGATGAGCTGCTGCAGCCTGGCGCCGAGGAAGCCCTTCTCGACCAGAAGGCAAAAGTGCTGCGCGACCAGGTCGCCGAAGGCGTACACGTCTGGGTGGACTCCCTGCAGCTCGCGCAAGAGGGCCGTCTCTTTGGCGCACCGTCTCATTGAGGATGGCCCAGCGTCCTCGCCGGAAGACTTGTTCTTGCGACCTCCGCTGGGGCAGCAAATCGTCGCTCACTCCGCCGTGTCGCATGCCATACAGGTGAGGCCGCAGCTGGGATATCCCAAGCGCCACCGCTGCCAGCGCGAATATCCTGTTCAGCTCTGAGAGGGAGAAGCTCCACAGCGGCGTCCCTGGACCACCTCTGCAACGGAGGGCCATGAGCACTGGCACCAGGTACAGGTCGAGGTCGAAGAGGATCGACTCGTCGAAGGAGCCCGTCTTGCCTGCCTGACCGCGGTCCGCCGGGTGCAGTAGCAAGCCCCAGAACTGGCGCGCTGGACCTGCCAGCGCTGACGGCTGCACAATGCTGTCCGTCGTGAGCCGCTGAGCCTCGGCGGGCCTGAGGTACGCCGAGAACGCGATCGCCAGCCACGCTGCCATGGGCGCCTGCTGCCAAGCAATCATAACGCCAGCCAGCGCGAACATGACAGCCCGAGGGATCGGCAACCGAGTGAGGGTTGGGGTTCGCCTCCGCCACGCCTGCATCGCTCGCGAGGCGCGGGGCAGGAGCGAGCTCACCTGCCTCGGGAGACCGGGAGTAAAGGGAGCCAGCGCCGCGACAATCTGCGACCCGACGCTCGCCGCCGCCCCCGAGATGTAACGAGAGGTGAAATACTCGGCGAGCAGGTCGTCCAACTCGCGCAGGTTGCTCCAGTCCCGGTGGCGGTCTGAGCAGTACGCGATGAACGTCTGCAGGAGCTGGCGATAGAGGGCCTCCGTGGTCGGCCGCGCCGCCAGCTGCTCCAGGAGCGTCATGGAGCCCGCAAGCGTCCGCCCGCGTGCCGCAGCCGACGCCAGCTTCGCGCGGTGGCGCGTCCGGGCTGAGGGCGCAAGCCCCGCCCGTCGCGGCATGGCCCGCACCTCGAGCAGGCGCGCGAGCAGCAGCACCAGCACCACGGCGTCCATGGCGAGTCCTCGCATGACTGAGCTGACGATGGCCGTTGAACCAGCCGGGCTTCCCTCGGCCGAGGGCATCAGCTGGGTTGCGCTCTGAGGCGATCCAGCGCACGAAGAGCCTCGAGCCCGTGGCGAGCGACAATGCACACAACTGATTCAAGCACGACCTCAAATGTTGTGACCGAACCCTCCCCTTCGCGCAGGCGAGAGCTAGCGGGAGGTTGTCGACGAGTGCGACCAAGCGAGCCCCATGAGCGCCCAGACTGCGGAGCTGATGCCGATGCGATGTGACCAGAGCCCCCCCCTCCAAGTAGAATATGTTGGCCCCCGTAGAGACCGACTGGGCTGATACCGAGCTCCAAGCGTCCTCCCGAGTAATATGACCAGGGATCTCGTCCATCTCCTAAGGGCCGCCCAAGACTGCAGCCGTATGAGCCCAAGTGGCGCCACTGGGAGGCAGAGCGAGCACCTCGTTGAATCCCATGAGCTCCTCGTAGGGGTCCCCGTGCTGGCCCATGGAGTAGTAGGGGTGATCGTGCTGGCCTGTGAGCTCCTCGTAGGGGTCCACGTGCTGGCCCATGAGCTTCCTGTAAGGGCCCCCGCGCTGGCCTTGCCGATCACAACGGTCATCGAGTGCACCCAAAAGCGGCGGACATACATGGAGACCCGCAGGGCTGTCATGTTGGACATCTGGCTGCAATCGCTCCGAGGTAGAGTGACAGTTAACAATGGCCACATTTTCTTGCACAGGGCTGAGCTGGTCTAGACCGCCCTCTCGCAGTGACCGAAAGCGGGCCTGGTGCCCGCCCTCAACTTTTTAAACCTCCACCTCTCTGAGCAACGGCCCATGGCGGCACAGACGGGGCGAGGTGCGCGGCGGCGCATCACCCCGAGCCCGAATGGCGAGGCATCGCTGGAAGTCATCGCGCGATGCCAGCTCGAGGCGAGGTCGCAGGACAGGCGGGGCAGCAAGTCTCGAATAGTGACCAGCTCCTTTGCCGCTGACGCCCATATCCTGCCCTGCCTCTCGACGTATGCCGCCACGAAGCTGTAGGCGCTGTGGAGCACAGTGAGGGCTTCGCGGCGTATCATCGATGACCATGTGACGTGTCCCAACACTGCCCGCATCATGTGGCCACTGCGCCAGCCCCGACGAAGGGGCCCTGAGATCGCCGCGTGCAGCCGCCAGATGTTGCGTGGCTTGATGCGCAAAAACCTCCCGTGCTTCAGGCTGAGACCCAAGAAATCCGCGCCCAGGGCGGCGGGCTCGATCTCGTGCACTGGCAGCCCTCGGGCGCGAAAAGCGGCCACAAGCTGCGCCATGACCCGGTCGACCGCGCTCTTGTCGGCGCCGAAAGCCAAGATGTTGTCGACGTAGGCGCCGACGCCAACGGAGACGGGATCCGTGACCACAACGCCCGGCTGGCCGTCCAGCGCGGTCATGGCCCTCTCACGGCCGCTCGCAGCTAGGACTGCGCGCGCTGCAGACCGGCAGAAGTGCAGCGCCAGCGAGAAACCCATCGGGAGGACGGTCACCATGGGCGTCGCGCGCGCGGACGCGTCGAAGTCCAGGTCGATCAAACCCATCTCCTGTAGCATGGCCACCGAGATAGAAGGTAAGGTAAACATGGACTCCGTCCCGCAGAGCATCCGCATGTGGTAGAAAGCGCATTCCAGGTCGCACGTTGAGATGAACATGCCATTGGCGGGGGCCTCGATAGACCCAAACGACGCGGCCGAAGGAAGCCTGGTAGCTGGTGAACCCAAAAACTTGCAGTTGGCGGCCCTCGTGTCGAAGATGATTCGGAGGGCCTCCGACTTCTTGGGGGCGAAAAAGAAGCCGACGGAGTGCGGGAGGCCGTTGTCCGCCGCGAAGGTGACCATCTGCCTCTGGTACATCTGAATCAAAAATTCGCCGTAGATGCTCGCATCACGAAGCAGGCTCGGGTCGCAGTAGGGCCCGCGTGGGCAGGCGGACTGCGCCAGGGCCTCGGCGGCGTGCCGATCTCGAAGCATATGGCTCCGCCATCCCTCCAGCCACGCCCTGTCCTGAGGCTGCGCGAGATCGATCAGGTCGACGGGCGCAGCACTACCAGCGGGCCACGCGACACGATCGCGGACGCAAGGAGATGGCGAGGCGGCGCCAGACCCGCACAGGTTGGCGCAGGAGAGGAGCTCTCGGAGAGCTCCGTCTTGAGCAGCACGATTGTCGGTGAACTCGGGCGGCGGTGCTCCCAGCTCCCTGATGCTGTTCTCGATGTGCATGATGGCTTGGCGCTGCCCCTCATGTGCCGGAGCAGTGGGCGAGGACTCGAAGCCATAGAGTGAATTCAGTGCATTGGTGGCGGCCCGCACGCGGTCATCACGATGAGCTCGAAGACCGCTGCGCCGTGCTGAGCGCCGGCCGACAGGCTCCACCCCTCGCGGAGCTGCAGCTGGCGAGACCGGCAGCGGGAAGATGTCGCGCTGGCGACCAGTCCCAAGCTGCCGCGGGCCTGCGGTCTGAGCCGCGCTGCTGTCCCAGGGAAAGGCAAGCCCATCTGCCCCCCCCGGCTCTTCTCAGGCATCCCCGCTGGGGGTTCCGCCGCCCTCGCGGCCTCGACGTCCACGGCCGCGACCGCCGCGGCCGCGGCCGCCGCGCCCGTCGCCGCCGCCAGAAGCAGCAGCGCCAGTCCCAGCAGCCATCGCACGCTCCTCCCGCGCCTTACGCCTCTCCTTGGCGATGGCGGCCTCGCGAGACTTCTCGGCCGCTAGCCAGTCGCGCAGCGCCGGGGCCATGCAGATGCTGCCGCCGGCGTCCTGGACGCCCGAGAGCAAGGCAGCGTCGTTGCCGTGCTCGGAGGACGGCGCAAACCTGTCTCGGTAGAGCTCCTCCTGGGTCTGCAGCGCGCGGCCGGCCAACTCCATGGAGGCCAAGTTCGTCGCATGAACTTGATCATACACCACGCCGTACTCGAGCAACCTGCAGCGCAGGAGATGCACGTCGACGCCAGGGTCCTCCTCGTCCAGGTACGCCTCGGCCTTCCACTTCAGATGCCGCCCGAGCGGCGTGCCTCCATTGCGGCATATATAGTTCAGCACCCACAGCAAAATACGAGGGCCCTTGAGGGGCCAGTCGGCCCACGGCCACTCGTGCATACGCAGCACAGCAGCCCTGAAGTCAATGTAACGAACCCCCTGTGGATCCAGGGTGACTGCCTGCATCCTCGCGTCGCCGCCCGGGGCTGCTGCGACCGCTGCGAGGGCGTTCGCCAGGCCGCCCGCGCCCAGGCACGGAGCGACGGGCGCTCCAGCCAAGGCGCCCGGCGGGGCGGCGGCTGGGGCAGCGCCAGCAGCAGCAGGAGTTGCGGCCGGATGGGCACCCACTGCTGGCGCCGCGGCCATCGGCGCCAGGGCGCCTCCAGGCGCGGCCGCCGCGGGCGCAGGGGCGGGCACCAAGGCGCCGGCGGCGCCTCCACCAGCAGCCGCTTCCCCGGCCCCAGGGGCCCCTCCTCCGAGCGCCGCTGCGAGCCCCGCCAAGCCCCCAGCCGCAGGGCCGCCTGCCGCGCCTCTGGCGGCGGGAGCAGCCGCCGCGGCGCCGACGGCGACGATGACGCGACCGGCGGTGTTCAGGGCTACTGGGGGGCCTGGGGCCAGGCCGAGAGACGCTCGGGTGGCGCTGGAAACGTCCGCCACGGCGGCCGGCAGGGGCAGCGCCCGGAAACGGTACACCTGATCGCCGCCTGTCGCTGCCGAGGCACCCCCCGCAGCGCCCCCCGCGGGGACACAGAAGTCGGCGACGTCAACGCCGCCGGTGGTGATGGCCTCGACGTACCCGTGCCCGTCAGGCTTCAGGATGCCCGTGCCGAAGGGGGGGGGGCCTGGAAAGCCAGGAGGAGGCGCTCATGCCAGATCCGCGCTCCACCCACCTGGTACCTGATCAGCACGAAGTCGCCCTCGTCCAGCCCGAGAGTGGCGAGGGGATGGC